GTGGAGCCCGATGTGGGGCTCAATCCCTGGGATCGTGACCTGAGCCTAATTCAAGAGTCAGATGCTCAACCAACGGAGCCACTCAGGTGCCCCTCACCTCTTCCTTTCTACAAGTACCACATCTCCCCCCTACACCGAGCACTTTTCTTCCTTGAATCCATTTGTCTCAGGGAAAGTTGACCCCCATACCTCAAGAGTCACCCCATTGGCCTGAGGGGAATTCTATTCCCCTTGAGGGCAGTTGGTGCAGGCAAAGGCATGTGACCCAGTCTGGCAAATATCCTGAGAAGTCCAGGGAGGACTGGGAAGTTTTCTCCCTCCTAAGAGAAAGCCATAGTATATCAGTTAGAAATGTTTTTATCAGCAAGTAACGGAACCACCCCCCCATACACACACGCACGTGCGTACACACACACACACACACACACACACACACACACACACTGACAAATAACGGTTTAAGAGTGAAGATATTTAACGAGCTCAGTATAAAAGTCTGGAGGTAGGTGGTTCCTGGCATTGGTGTCTCAAATAATATTAGGATCAACATCTCTGTGATTCTCTTTTTCTTTCATTAATGGTGTTTAAAAGGCTGCCACTCCAGGGGTGCCTGGGTGGCACAGTCGGTTAAGTGTCCGACTTCAGCCAGGTCACCATCTCGCGATCCGTGAGTTCGAGCCCCGCGTCAGGCTCTGGGCTGATGGCTCGGAGCCTGGAGCCTGTTTCCGATTCTGTGTCTCCCTCTCTCTCTGCCCCTCCCCCATTCATGCTCTGTCTCTCTCTGTCCCAAAAATAAATAAACATTGCATTGAAAAAAAAAAAAAAAAGGCTGTCACTCCAGCCATTATGTCCATGTTGAGGCCTGGGAAGAAAGGAACTTTGTCAGGGACTGAAACCTGTCCCTTTTCTAATCAACAATGTCCCAGAAATGCCCTGGCTTTCTTTCACTTTCATCTCATTGGGACAGGACTGTCACCTGGCCACTTCTAGCTGCAAGGCAGATTGGGAAGGTGAGGTTTTGGCTCTTCTTGTCTATAGAAGAAACAGGAAATGAAGAGGACGTTGGGTTGGGAAGTGGGACTAGGTTAGCTACACCCAGGAAGCAAGCCTCGGTGTCTGGAACCACTGCTGCCATCTTAGTTCTGGCCGGAGCAGAGAGATAGAAGGAACCTACCTACAGCCCAGATGAAAAGTGAGCAAAGTAGGTGAAGACACCATTCACGGAGAGAGGAAACAGTAACCCTCAAGCATATGAAAAAATGCCCAACTTCACTCATAAGAGCAATTAGAATCGAAATAACACCATGATACTACCTTTTTACCTATCAGATTGGCAAAAATCCAAATGTTTGACAACACATTCTGTTCATAAGGCTGTGGGGAAACAGGCATTCTCCTGCGTGAAGGGCAAAATAGCACGATCTCCCGTGGTGGCGAAAGAGTGGATAAAGGAACGCATGAACTAGGGTCTTCATGTCCTCACCAAGATGCCACATCAACTGACCTGGGCCCCAGCCTCCTGTGGGACTTCCTGGTAAGTGACACCATCAATGTCCTCACTGATTAAGCCCGTTTGAGGAGAGTTTTTGTTACCCAGAACCCACGATGTCCCGAATGATGCCCCCGCCTCCCACCTGAAGCCCAGGAGCAAAGGTATTCTGGCCAGAAGCCAGATCATGGAATCTCATTGGGTCACCCAGTGACTAGCCAAACCCAAGCAGCTACGGATCCAAAAGCTGAGCTCATTGCTGACCGAAGAATTCTTCCCAGAGAATGGGCCGTGAGCCTATTCCCAAATCAGTGGGTGGGTAACTGCCTAAGGTAATATCTAACCCGTGTGGTCATGAGAGGGGGCTGCATCTTGAGTGGTTGAAAGTCCTGTTGGAATCCAAATTGTAGGGAATGCCCTAAGGAGTTAGACCTCGAGGTGGTGAGAGGGCTGCCTTGGTCTCGCTTGACCCGACGTCCTAGCTTGCTATTTGGTTTCTTGGATTGCCTTTATTTGCATTTCTTATTCACGGGGCAACCTCCTGGTTCCTGAGTATTCCCAAATTGTGTGGCAAGTGAAGAAATTAGGATTCTGTTTGTCTTTTGAAAAATTGCTCATGAAGAATGGACAGGCCCAGTGGAATCCCTCCATCCTCCCATCCAACATTCCTCACTAATGACCTTCCTAGTCTGAGATGCGGTTAAAGACGGATGGCTCGTGCCCTCGGGCTACACCGCTTCATATGCTGCATTTCAAAATCCATGCCCTCTGTACTGAACACCAATGACTGGGACAAACTTCCAGGATATTCAGAGTAGATGGTAGCCACTCGTGAAGCCCTATACATGTGTAGGCCTGCACCAATTGTGCACAGGTGTCAGGCAGGCGAGAGCCAGGATACCTGGCTTCTGAGGATGGGAGACTTCATGGCCCTGGGGATCCAAAGGACTTGGTTTGTTCCCTTCTAAGGTGGAGTCAAGGCCAGAACAAAGACATAAGCAAGAAAACCTCATTGAGGTCATACGCCAACGGACATTCTGATGCCCACAGCTAGGGGCGGTTAGAGGTGGGTAAGTGGGCCAGTGTGATCCCTGGTGGGGTTCCTGTGTGATCACGTGGCAGCCGGACAGGAGCAGGGAGGTGGGTGGGAATGCAGGGTCTTCCGCAAGGACAGAACAGAAAGCGGGTGCCAAGAGCGCCACCATGCCTTGGGGGCGTGATGGCTGTATCTCCAAAGTTGGGTAGATGCTGGCCTCTTCCTTGGCCTCCTTCTAGCCCCCAGAAGGGCTCAGTCTGTGGGCGTGGCAATCGTCCAGACTCCCCTCGAGCCGTATTTCCAGCAAGTGTCCCGCCACCAGCGTCATATGCACTCTGATCACTGCTCTCAGCACACGTATATTTAGTTTGTCCCCTGCTGTTCATTCGTGATTGTTTGCAGGTTATGTCATGTGTGTATGTTATGTCTACACTGGATACAGGCCCCTGAGACCAAGGTCTGTCTTCTAGTTTTTGTGAATCACCATCCCCCTCCTCCACAAACCACACCACCACCACCACCACCAATAAGAACTAGGACCTACTACGGGGCATTGCACAACACAGACAAAAATGCTTGTAAGTAAGTTGCCATTACTGACAGTCCGAGGTTCACCCCCACTGTGAACCAACACTGTGGAGGGAAAAGCTGAGGGTCAGAGCCGAGGAACATGTAGAGAGGGGCTCTTTGTTAAGAACAGACCAGGCATCTATTTGCCCCAAGAGGGCTGTCAGAATTACAAAAAAAAAAAAAAATTGGGAGGCATGTCCCATAGCCTCATGGGACACATGCACCTGGGAAGATTCTTCACAGACCTGGCCGATAGGGGGGACGACAATTGCCAGCCATCACGTCACCCTGCCATAGCAGATCAGTGCACAAGAAATTAGAATCAGAACATTTTGCTATGGCTTGGCGAAATCTAAGGCAGCTTTTTTCCAGACAATCCAGTAAAAATCTAAGACAGCTTCTTACTATGAGATTCCTTGACATGGCGACCCGTCCAACTTAAAAGGATTTATTCGGGTTGTCAGCTTTTCAGAAAGGTATTTCTTGAAACGAAACAACGAAAAACACCGACTTTGAAGGGAGGGCGCAAACTGCAGAGGTCGCGGGAAGACCAAGGTGCGGGGTGGCTCCTGGCCACCAGGGGGCGTGGTCTCCCCGGTCCTCGGCTGCAAAGCCAACCGTGGCGACCGCAGCCCGCCCCGCACTGTCACATGGCCCGCAGCCCCCTCCGCGAAGCCCGGGCCCGGGGATCCAGGTGGGCACCAGGCCTCTTCTCCCACTTGGGCATTTCCTGCAGCGGGTATGTCTGGGGTGCAGAAGGCCGGGAGCGGCCAGGCCGGGAGGAGGTCATGTTAAATTACAGGCTGGGCGGGAGTGCAGTGCTGGCGGCTTCGCCCAGGAGCCAGGAAGGCGGTGGTGTCTGGGGCATGACCTCGGGTGGCTGTGGTGCTGGATGGGCCGCTGGGCAGAGTCCCACCGGCGAGGCCACGGAGAGCGTGGGTGTGGCAACCACAACAGAGACGCGGGGGTGGGGGTGGGGGGCATCGTGTGGTGCGACCCGGGCGAAGTCCATGCTTTGCGGCGAGGTCCGCCCTGGTCTGGTCTGGTCTCCCTTCCTCAGCATTACCTTCTCTGGGAGGAGCTCTTCTCCTGCCCGGTGACCCGCTCCTCCCCCGGGGGACTTCCGTCCCTCTCCCATCCACGCACCCAACACTGGTGAGCGCCCGCTGTAGCCGCTAGTCTTACGCCTCCGCGGCTTTACTCATGCTTTTCTCCCTGCCCTTCTCAGCCCGTCCAGGTTTCGCCGTGCCTCAGTGAGGCCCTGGAGCCTCACCAGCTCCAGGAAGCCCCCTCTGATTACTCCAGAGTGAGGAAAAGGATCTAGTCGGCCCCATATACGGTTATATCCCCAGCGCCTAATACTATGCCTGGCACTAGTGGGGTCTCAGTAAGTATGTATTCACTTGAAGGAATGAGGCGATCTTGTGTGACGTCACAGCTTTTTTAAAAAGATTTTATTTTTTTAAGTTTATTTATTTATTTTGAGAGAGAGAGAGAGAGAATACATGTGCACGAGCAGGGGAGGGGCAGAGAGAGAGGAGGACACAGAAACCGAAACAGGCTCCAGGCTCTGAGCCGTCAGCACAGAGCCTGATGAGGGGCTCCAATCCATGAACCACGAGATCATGACCTGAGCCAAAGTCAGACACTTAACCGACTGAGCCACCCAGGCGCCCCATTTTATTATTTTTTTACGTTTATTTATTTTGAGAGAGAGAGAGAGAAAGAGAGAGCACAAGCAGGGGAGGGGCAGAGAGAGAGGGAGAGAGAAGATCCCAAGCAGGCTCCACGACAAGAAGACTCAGGGCTCCGTCCCACAAGCTGCAAAACTGTGACCTGAGCCAAAATCAAGAGTCCCACACTCCACCAACTGAGCTAGCCAGGCACCCCTGATTTGACAGCTATGATTGCCCAAAACTTTCACTTGGCACATCGTCAAGTCCCGCCTGTGACATCTGTCCTACTGAACTGTTGTGTTTATTACCACTGGATGCTTGCTGGTTGGATTAGGCAGGGCTCTCGAGCTGGAAGGGCCAGAAAGGAATTTATTGGCTCATTGAACCACACCATCAGGGGATAGGCAGGAAGGGTTGAGCCTGCTTCAGGGACAACAGGAACCTGGGATTATGTCAGGACGCCCTGCCGCTCATCATGGCTTCTCTCTTTGATGTCTTTATCCCTGCTTCTGCAAACTGGCTTTCTCCACCCAAAAAATGACTGTCAGCTAGCCCAGATTCACATCCTTTGCGCTCGCCAGTCCAAGAGGAATAGGATTTTCCTCCCTGGCTCCTATTTTATTTTATTTTATTTTATTTTATTTTATTTTATTTCTTTTGTTAATGTTTGTTCATTTTTGAGACAGAGTGTGAGCGGCGGAGGGGCAGAGAGAGAGGGAGACACAGAATCCAAAGCAGGCTCCAGGCTCCGGGCTCCGGGCTCCGCGCTGTCAGCGCAGAGCCTGACCCAGGGCTTGAACTCACGAACCGTGAGATCATGACCAGAGCCAAAGTTGGAGGCTCAACTCACTGAGCCACCCAGGCACCCCTCCAGCTCCGATTTTAAAATCCTGACAAAAACTTCAATAGGGCTTGGGTTTTTTTGGTGGTTTTTTTTTTAATTTTTTTTTAACATTTATTTATTTTTTAGACAGAGAGAGACCATGGACAGGGGAGGGTCAGAGAAAGACAGAGACACAGAATCTGAAACAGGCTCCAGGCTCTGAGCCGTCAGCACAGAGCCCGACGCGGGGCTCGAACCCACGGACCGGGAGATCATGACCTGGGCCGAAGTCGGACGCCCAACCGACTGAGCCACCCAGGTGCCCCAATAGGGCTTGGTTTTTCTGGATCTCATGCCTTTTTCTTGCACCAACCACCGTGGCCAGAGGCAGACACGTAGAATAATCGGCAGCTCGTACCTGAATGGCAGAGTTGGACGAGAGAAGGAGCAGCTGAGCCCCAAAATGTGGATGAGAGAAACAGACGTGGCCACTCAGAAGAGCTGGGGCCACCACCCTGATGTGTGTTTATGACAGTGGCTGCACATACGTTTTGTGATTATTCCCTGTTATTGAGGAAAAGGACAGTATATGCCCATGGTGCCCTTGCTGAAGACAAGAACTTGATGAATACAGGCTGATTTATAGGAAAGGAAGGTGTGTGTGTGTGTGTGTGTGTGTGTGTGTGTGTGTGTCTGGGTGGTGGAATCTCGGGTGGATCTCCCCTGCACTTTGCATGAACCTACAACTGTCCTTCTTGTCCCGGCTGCTGTGGGTGAGGCCGTCTGTTCAGGGTGTGGATCTAGAGAGAATTATGGCTTCTGGATTTCTTCCTGAGAAAATCTTCTGAGCCCAGCAGCGTAATATTGGCTTTTTGTTTCGCAGGGGGAATGGCTCTAAGGCTGGTTTTTCTGTTTGTGTTTTGTTGTTGTTTATTTCGGTAGAGAGCAAGAGGGAAGTTTTGGACGATGGCGTCTTCCTCGGACGGTCCCAGGAGTGTGGCTGTTTTGAAAAATCAGGCGTTCCTGCCAGAGGCGCTTCAGGCTTTCAACAGTCCTCTTAGGTAACACTATTCACCTAGTTTCTCTGATGAGGAAACTGAGGCTCAGAAGTACACGCCCAGGTCATGGAGCTATAGGAAGTAGGGAGGACAGAAAGACGCGTCTGGATTAGGAAGCATGCACCAGCGGCTTTGCCTGCCTCCGATCATTTCATCTACACAGCAGGTGACAGGCTTGCTAAAGTGTAAATGCCTTGCCCAAGGTCATAGAGGCCAGTGAGCCCTGGGATTTGTTGATTCCAAGTCCCTACTATTTTTTTTTTTTTTTTTTTTTTTAGTGTTTATTTATATTTGAGAGAGAGAGGGAGACAGAGTGTGAGCGGGGGAGGGGCAGAGAGAGACAGAGACACGGAATCCGAAACGGGCTCCGGGCTCCGAGCTGTCAGCGCAGAGCCCGACTCAGGGCTCCAACTCACAAGCCGTGAGATCATGACCTGAGCTGAAGCCGGACGCTCAGCTGACTGAGCCACCCCAGCGTCCCTCTACTATTTTCACTTCCTTACACTTGTGGCTTTGGTCTCCGTTGTGCCTCCATTGCCGAATCTGTAAAATGGGGGTGATGACAGTACGTACCTCATGGTGTTGGTGGGGGGGTGGGTAAGAAAAATGACACCCGGCCTGCAGTAAGAGCTCTGTAGGTGGACTCTATTCTCACTGTTTTTGTTATTGCACTGCAAGACCTCCCTCAGGATCACGAGTCGGACCACTCCCTGTGGCGGGAGAACCAGATCCCGTGGGAGCCCCCTCCGGGCCCAGGTGCTCCTGAGGCCCAGCCGCAGGTGCCTGGGAAAGTCTGCGACAGGAATAAAGGGAACAAAGGCTCCAGGTGCTCGGCTGAAGCTTTGTCTGGCTCAAGGCCTGTTTCCTGCTCGATCAGGTTGCTCTTGGCTGGCTGGGCTCCGGGAGCTGACCCCTCCCCCCTGCCCCTGCCCCTGCCGCTGCCCCTGCCAGCCGAGGGCTGAGGGCCAGGCCTGGTGATGCAGGACGGGGCCCAGCTGGGCAAAGCACTTCCTTTTTAGAGCCCAGCCTTGGAGTTTGGCTGGCTGAAGCAGGAAGCCTTGAGACACCAGGCCCTCCCTCCAGCTCTGTGGTTTCAGTGAGCCCCCCTCCCATCCTCCTTAGGTGGGGTGGCCCTGGGGGTAGAGCCTGGGGCTTGAATGCCAGCCCAAGAATGGAGCCGCAACCCGAGGCAACCTGTCTTTCTCTCTGCCTCTCGGTTTTCCTGGCAAGGATGTTCAGAAGGTTGTGCCGGTTCATGGAGAAAGCCCCTGCAAGCCCTAACAATTCCCTGGGGCCCCCAACACTGCCTGTAGGAGACGGAGCTTCAGACCCGGTGGCGGGTGATCCTACCTAGTATAACACAAACTGGGGCCTGTCTCCCTCTGCTTCACCCCTACCGCAACCCCGGGCTGCCCACCCCCCTCCCTGTGCGGCAGCTCTCGGTCAGAACCTTAAAGAAAGGTCCTTGACCGGGAGTTTATTCCTGCCTCAGGGCTTTTGCACTTGCTGTCCTGTTGCCCCGGAACACAGTGTGCTCCAGGTGTCCATGTGGCTGTCCTTGTCGCTCAAGTTTGAGCCCTTAGATGTTACCTCCTTAGAGAGGCCTTCTTTGTCACCCTCTGAACCAGCCCCTGCCTTGTCCCTCACTTTCAACCTCATCCTGTTTTCTAATCCTCAGAGGACTCACCTCCGTCCCTCAGAATTTCTTTTTTCTTTTTTTAATGTTTATTTATTTGAGAGAGAGAGAGAGAGAGAGCACACGATGAGAGAGGGGCAGAGAGAGAGGGAGACACAGAATCTGAAGCAGGCTCCAGGCTCTGAGCTGTCAGCACAGAGCCTGATGCGGGGCTCGAGCCCATGAACCGTGAGATCATGACCTGAGCCAAAGTGAGACGCTCAACTGACTGAGCCACCCAAGCGCCCTTCTCAAAGTTTCTTGTTCTGATTTATCTCCCTTCTTTTTTTTTTGTATTTTCTTTAACTTATTTTTTACATTTACATCCAAGTTAGTTAGCATATAGTGCAACAATGATTTCAGAAGTAGATTCCTTGGTGCCCCTTTACCCATTTAGCCCATCCCCCCTCCCACAACCCCTCCAGTAACCCTCTGTTTGTTCTCTGTATTTAAAAATCTCTTATGTTTTGTCCCCCTCCCTGTTTTTATATAATTTTTGCTTCCCTTCCCTTATGTTCATCTGTTTTGTCTCTTAAAGTCCTCATATGAGTGAAGTCCTATGATATTTGTCTTTCTCTGACTGACTAATTTCACTTAGCACAATACCCTCCAGTTCCATCCACGTAGTTGCAAATGGCCTCCTTTTTTTTTTTTTTTTTTAATTTTTTAAATGTTTGTTTTATTTTTGAGAGAGAGAGCGTGTGTGCACAAGCAGGGGAGGGGCAGAGAAAGGGAGACAGAGGATCCGAAGCAGGCTCCGTGCTGACAGCAGAGGAGCCCAACGCAGGGCTCGAACTCATGGACCACGAGATCATGACCTGAGCCCAAGCTGGGTTCTTAACCCTGACTGAGCCGCCCGGGCGCCCCTATCTCCCTTTTTCTCGTCTGCCTCTTCGCTGGAATCTACGCCCCCTGAAGGGAGGGCCTCTCTGTCTTTCCTTCCACCGTCTCCAGAGCTGGGCCTAGCACTGGACAGTCGGGTACTCCCTGTAGCTGTCACCAACCGTGAGACCCGCCTTAGGATGAATGTCTTGGTGTCTGTTCCCGTCCGCACTTCTGTGGAGGCAGCTTTGCGGGTATGAACGCACTTCAGATTCCCAAAGCACTTTCAAATAAATGCACTGCCTCGTTGGTACCTCATCTCTCAGCTCAAACCCATTGTTCCACTGGGTCATGTTACAGATGTGCATATATTCAGACTCACTGCGTTGGGGTGTGGGGTGGTAGCACTCTAATCTCCGAGATTCTCGTAGGCTCTGGGTTGTTCTAGGACTCTGTTGATGCAGGTGTTACCTTTAGGTCTCAGCCAGGGAAACTCTAAAACGCTTGCTCTCTTCCATGGCTGGGACATCCCACTTTCTCTTCTGCTCTTGGGCCTTGGAATTAGAGCAGGACCTCTAAATAGCACAGAGTACTTAGTACCTAGCATTCTGCCCTCTCAGGTTCACGGATATTCGGCGGCAGGTGAGGCTTGGAGGCGAAGGGACCCAGCCGCCAGGAAAGTGGCGAAGGCGGGTCTAGAACTCCGCTGCAGAACCCTCCGGTCGGACTCCAACCCGACGGCCCGGCTCACCACGCGCATCTGTATGTGGATTCACTTCCAGCTACCTGGGGGGTGGAGCTCTTCATGGTCTAAATTGTTAAAATCGTAATGGCATCTTTAGGTGCCTTTATTAAGCTCATTAAGGGCTTATGAGGTCTTGCCCTGGCTTTCCGCTGGATCCTGCAGCCGGAGAGGGAGGCGAGGCTCCCAGCTGTGCCCATGTGATGGCGTGCATGGAAACTCCTCAAAGGACAGCAGAGATCCATACTGACTGGGAACTTGGCAAAGATAAGCCTGCGTGGGTGTGCAGGGACACCGAGGCACCCTCTGGAAGGATGTGCTTCAGAATGCCAGCAGGGACATGGGGGCGCCTGGGTGGTTCAGGCGGTTAAGCATCTGACCCTTGGTTTCGGCTCGGGTCATGATCTCACGGCTTCGTGGGTTCGAGCCCCACATCGGGTTCCTCCGCGCTGAGGGTGCAGAGCCTGCCCGGGAGTCTCTGCCTCCTTCTGTCTCTGCCCCTCCCCCACTCACATTGTCTCTGTCTCTCTCAAAATAAATAAATAAACTTAAAAAAAAAAGAAGAATGCCAATAGTGGCGTCCCTGGGGATGGCCTTCTGAGTGATCTTTCAGTCTCTTCTTTATGCTTTTTGGAACTGTCTGAATTTTTTTTTTTTTATAATGAGCAAGCATTTCCTTTATAATCAGAAAAAGAAATAAATAGAGTCATTTTCATCTTGAAAAGGAATGGAAGACAGCCCCTGAATAGAAATAAAGGAAGGGGAAGAGTGCTTATGAAGTGCGTGATCGGTGTTTTCAGTCGGATCACTCAGGGGGACGTCCCGCAGGTACAATCGGAGTCAGCCGCTGGGGGGGTGGGGGGGCGTTCAAAATATTAACGTAACAAGGGCTGATTGGACTTCTTCTATGAATGAGGCCCATCATTATCATCCCCTCGGCCCCCTCTCTCTGGGCAGCGCTCCTCTTTCTCAGGATCCCAGTGATTAACGTCACAAGCCCTTCCCGGAGACTGTGCAGCGAGACGCTGGAGGAGAACCGAGAAGTGAGACGTCAGTGAATCAGAACTCATTCAAAGCCCCGGAGTTTCCCGGCCGTTACCTTCCACGCCTGGACCTATGAGTCAGGGTCATCTCGCCCCCGTTGAGTGTGGTGCATACATGCTTCCCTGCCCTGCTCTTCCGGGGGCCCCATCCCAGCCTTCACGCATGCACACACACCGCCCCGGCCGGCCGCGTCCCCGGCCGCGTGTCCTGGCGAGGGTGCGGGTGCAGGCGCGCCCGGCTTATTCACTCACCCCCGGGGGGTGTGCACGGGCCCCTTGGGTGCTGAGCTCAGGCTCTGCACGGCCAGAGACGAACCGAAAAAAGAAAAATAAATATTAGTACTTCCTTTCCCATAAATGTTGCAACAGTCTAGCTGTAGCTTAGAGCGTATATTTTTTTAAGTCCATTTATTTACTTGGGGGGTGGGAGGGGCAGAGCAGGAGAGAGAAAGAATCCTAAGCAGGCTCCATGCTCCGTGTGGAGCCCGAGCGGGGGGCTCCTATCCCACCACCCTGGGATCGTGACCTGGGCCGAAAGCAAGAGTTGGACACTCAACTGACTGAGCCACCCAAGTGCCCCCTAAGGCAGGTATTTTGTGAATAATCAGAATTAACCCACATGTCTGGCGTTAGTGGTCTGTATCCAGAGAACAGAATACTATGGAGGTACTAAAAAGAGTGAAGTAGATTATGTAAAGTGACATGGAAAATGGTCATTTTGGGGGTGTCTGGCTGGCTCAGGAGAGCATGCGACTCTTGATCTCGGGGTTGTGAGTTTGAGCCTCATGTTGGGTGGGGAGATTAGAGATTACTTAAAAGTAAAATTAGACATTCTTTTTTTTTTTTTCAATGTTTTTATTTATCTTTGAGAGAGCCCAAGCAGAAGAGGAGCAGAGAGAGGACAGAGGATCCGAAGCGGGCTCCACACCGACAGCAGCAAGTCCGATGGGCTCGAACTCATGAACGGTGAGATCAGAACCTGAGCCAAAGTCGGATGCTCAACCGACTGAGCCGCCCAGGCACCCCTCACAAGTGTTTTTAAAGAAATACATAGTCATTTCACAAAAATGAAATGTCATATACGGTAGGACAAAATTAAATATTATAAACCAGAAAAATTGTTTATGGTTCTGCAAAGATATAAAAATATTATCAAAACATTCATATTATCCCTTCAAATAAAAAAATAAAATTAAACATTCTTTAAAAAATAATTTAAGAAAAATTAAATGGTCAGTTTTAAAGCACAGCCATGTGTACATGATGTTCTTGTTTGTGTGAACCTGTATTATGACTTTTTTTAAAAAAATTTTTTTAATGTTTTTATTTATTTTTGAGACAGAGAGAGAAAGAGCATGAGCGGGGGAGGGGCAGAGAGAGAGGGAGACACGGAATCCAAAGCAGGCTCCAGGCTCGGAACTGTCAGTGCAGAGCCTAAGCAGGGCTCGAACTCACAGACCGTGAGATCATGACCTGAGCTGAAGTCAGACACTTCACCGACTGAGCTGCCCAGGCGCCCCGTGTTATGACTCATTTTAAAAAATGGATATCTTCCCATTGTAAAAAGATAAAACCTCCAGAAAAATTTAGACAAAGACCTGAAAAGCCCCCATCAGGACCCGCATCCATCAGGACAGGCCAGGTTATGCTCTAGTAACAAATACCTCTGAACATCTCAGTGACTTAAAATAACAAAGATTTATTTCTTGCCCACGCTTCATTCCCAGCAAGGCTCTCAAAGGCTCGTCTCTTTGTAGTCATGAGAGCCCCACTGTCATTGTATGATGTCCCTGTCCCCATGTGAGACTTCAGGGTTCACCACTGCAGGGGAAGAAAGCCTAAGAACCACACACGGGTTCTCCAATGCCTCCCCCAGAAGGGGCACATGTCACCCTTCCTCACATTTCATTGGCCAAAGCAAGTCACATGGCCACCTAACTTCCGGAGGAAGTATGATCCTCGGAAGTATACTCGGAAGAGAAGAGAGCTGGGGGAGTCCGTGAGCCCTGGTGACATCTACCGCCCATGGCAAACCGACTGCACCCTTCCAGGCCTTGTTCACACTGATACACAGAGTAGTTTTGCAGTAATTTCAAAATATAACCCAGATTCTGTAGTCAGACAGACCTAGGTTTGAATCCTAAGTAAGCTATCTACCTGCTGTGTTCCCTGAGATAAGATGCTCGATCCACCCAAAACTCAGGTTTCTCATTAGCACCTGCTTCCTGGATGAATGTAGCGATGAAATGCCCTAGTGTGAATCAAACCCTTAATAAGCGATGGCTTACAAAAGTAGTCATGTCTAACGAAGCACTAAGGAGTGCTGCAGGGTGGTTGTTTAGAAGACTGGAGATATCAATATGCACAAATCAATATGGGAAAAAAAAAAAGCACTTATCCCTCCATCAGAGTTTTCTAGGGCGGTATCTGGAAGTTCTCTTGTATCCACAGCCCCAGCTGTGGATATGAGTAGTAGTTATTAACTCTGGGGAATGCAGACTGAGGGGGGGGGCATCTTTACAGCCGGGCAGAGGCTGCCAGTGAGAGAGCCGTGGGTCAGGTACAAAACAGCCACCCTGCGTCAACTGATCTGGGCTCTGCTCCTTTCTACCCTGTCTTTCCGAGCTGAGTGTCCTGTTAAAGAGAACGGTTTTCTTTTCTTTTCTTTTTTTAAATTTTTTAAACTTATGTTTATTTATTTTTGAGAGAGAGAGAGAGAGAGAGAGAGAGAGAGAGAGAGACAGAGCGTGAGCGAGGGAGGTGCAGAGAGAAAAGGAGACACAGAATCCGAAGCAGGCTCCAGGCTCTGAGCTGTCAGCACAGAGCCTGACGTGGGACTCGAACCCATGAACCGTGAGATCATGACCTGAGCTGAAGTCGAATGCTTAACTGACTGAGCCACCCAGGCCCCCTAAAGAGAACAGTTTCCTAGTGAAAGGAGCAGTCTTCATATATAAATATGTTGTTTTAAGATGCAACAATCGTGACATTTCTAGAGGACAATCTGGCAGCATGCATCAGAAGCCTTAAAAATAGGGGCGCCTGGTGGCTCAGTGGGTTAAGCGTCCGACTTTGGCTCAGATCACAATCTCGTGGTCTGTGAGTCTGAGCCCCGTGTCAGGTTCTGTGCTGACAGCTCGGAGCCTGGAGCCTGCTTTGGATTCTGTGTCTCCCTCTCTCTCTGCCCCTCCCCTGTTTGCACTCTGTCTCTCTCTCTAAAAATAAAAGCATAAAAAAAAATCTTTTCAAAGAAAGAAAAAAGAAAATCTTGGGGCACCTGGGTGGCTCAGTCAGTGAAGCATCCGACTTCAGCGCAGTCATGATCTCACGGTTCGTGGGTTCGAGCCCCATCAGGCTCTGTGCTGACAGCTCAGAGCCTGGAGCCTGCTTTGGATTCTGTGCCTCCCTCTATCTCTGCTCCTCCCCTGCTCATGCTCTGTCTCTCTTTCAAAAACATTAAAAAAATAAAAATATATAGATCTTTCAGGGGCACCTGGCCAGCTCAGTTGGAGGTGCATGGGGCTCATGATGTTGGGGTCTTGAGTTCAAGCCCCACACTGGAGGTAGAGATTACTTTTTTCTTTAGTTTATTTATTTATTGGGGGGAGGGGCAGAGAGAGAGAGAGAGAGAGAGAGAGAGAGAGAGAGAGAGAGAGAATTTCCAGCAGGCTTTGCACTGTCAGCAGAGCCTGACTCAGGGCTCAAATCCACAAACCGTGAGATCATGACCTGAGCCCAAATCAAGAGTCAGACACTTAACCAACTGAGCCACCCAGGCGTCCCAGGGGTGGAGATGACTTAAAGAAAAAAAAAAAAAACAAATAGACCTTTTGATTCCACTGTCCACTGAGACGAATTTATCTTGAGAAAATAAAACAAGTGAATAAAGGTAGAATTTTGTTGCTCATGACGAAAAATTAAAAACAGCCTACCTGTCTAGCGAGAGGGGATTAAACAAATCATAGAATGCTTTGTTTGTCTCACTATGTCTAGACAAAAAATGCTGTAAATTGTCCAATGAAATGTTGTATAGAAAAGAGCGATGCGCATCTAAAAGTCTATATATTCTATGATCTTGTTGTTGAAAAAAGCCTGAAAGTATATACTCTATACACTGAAAATATGAACAAACAAATGCCAGAATATGAGTAGTAGTTATCAACTCTAGGGAATGGAGATATGAATTTTTTGTATGCTAATTTTTCTACAAAAGAATATGATTAAGTAACAAAAGCCAAAGGTTATTTAGATGTGTCTTTAGCTACTTTTTCTTTTCTATCAATGCTCAAAGTAATCTGCTCAACTCTAGAGGGACCTGGGACCGGTGGCCAGGAGTCAGGAAACCTTTGTTGTGTTGTGTGTGACCTTTAGCAAGCTATCAGGAGTGAGAGGGTATTTGTACCCACTTTTTACTAATGGACACAGATACATAGAAAGGACCCACTCTGTGTCCAAGAGCCCACAGCTCATGGTCCCAGAACTGGATTGGGATTTTGAACACAGATTTCCTTCCTTCCTTCCTTCCTTCCTCCCTTCCTTCCTTCCTCCTTTATTTCCTTCCTTCCTTCCTTCCTTCCTTCCTTCCTTCATCCCTCCCCTCCCTCTCTCTCTTTCTTTTTAAGTAGGTTTCATGCCCTACTTGGAGCCAAATACAGGGCTTGAACCCACAAACCGTGAGATTATGACCTGAGCCAAAACTGAGTTGGATGCTTAACCAACTGAGCCATCCAGGCGCCCATAAAGTATTTTTAAGCAATCTCTACACCCATTGTGGGGGCTTGAACTCCTGACCCCGAGATCAAGAGTCGCATCCTCCACGGACTGAGCCAGCCAGGCTCCCCTGAACACAGGTTTTCTGATTCCTGGTCCAGGATCTTCTATACTACATGACAGCCACCACCGCCCGAGCCTCGTCGCTAAATGACAGGGTCAGAATACAGTCCTTCCCACCGAAAATATTCAATGTCCACAGGAAATTGCCTCCCTGCCGCCATCATGCCTGATGCCTCCCAGGCCCAAGCAGTTGGTGTGTGTGCCCTGTTGGTCGGACGCCAGCCTTCGGCAGGCTGGCGGGACTCCAGGCCGGAGTCTGGAGAACTCTGGTCTGCCCACGGCCATCTCGAGGGGGAGGAAGGGCTTTCTGGCCGGCTGCCTTGCAGAACCGGGCAAGAACGGCCCGCGAAGGCTGGCGGAGGGCCGGGAACTCGTTGTCTTCCCTTTAAACAGACACAGTCTGTCTGTTGAGATGCTGGAAACATCTGACCTTTTGCAGAGCATCTCAAGAGTTGTCAGGGAGGGCCAGAGGGAGGTCCCTCCCTTTCTGTAAATGCCTTAACCCTTTGAACACGGCACTGAACGACCACAGAGAAACAGATCCGTCTTCAAGGACCTAGAAGGATTTGTTGTGCCTGTTTTCCTTTTGGGGGGTCAGTAATGGGCAGATCACCCCTGGAGACGTAGACATGTAGCCCATTTTCTCAGTTCCTGG